ATTTATCTCTGCTAGGAGCTCAAATTGTGCTCTATATGCTTCCCACGGTACCTTCCCATCGAATTCCTGTGGTTTCCTTTTTACTAGATCACCCGTATTGCTGCGGGGTCTGGAAAGGGCTTGCCATTGTCTGTGGCTGATTACGTCGATGGTTAATGTATCCTCCTTGTGTGAAAGACAATAAATCATCCTTTAATGTATTTAATTCGTTTTGAAATTTACAAAGTTTTCCATTTGTATTTCTTGTTTCCTTTCTTGTTCCCGTTGCCAGTGCTGTAGTCTCTCTTCTTGTTCATTTTCTTTCTCCTCCAACCACTGCTGTAGTCTCTCTTCTTGTTTATTTTCTCGTTCTTCTTGTTTCTTTTCTTTTTCCTCCAACAGCTGTTGTAATCTCTCTTGTTGTTTCTTTTCTCGTTCTTCTTCTTTCTTTCATTTTCCTCCAACAACTGCTGTAATCTCTTTTGTTTATGTTGCTGTTCCAGCTGCCACTGTTGCAGGTTTTCTTGTCACTGCTGTAATCTCTCTTCTTGTTTCTTTTCTCGTTCTTCTTGTTTCTTTTGCTGTTCTTGTATTGCTGCCATCACATCTGCTAAGCTGTAGTTTGATTTGCCACCTCTTGTTTCCATTTTCTTTTTTTTCGTCCTACTCTCTGACACCAGTTTGTTACGTCTCTGTTCGTTTGTTAATTTCCCATAGAAATTCTTTCCGAGAAACTTCAGCGATACAAGTCCTTTCTTAAATAAAACTAGTTTATTCTTTTTCAATACAGCTTTGCAATACACTTAATTTCCACAGTCACTTTAACTTAAACACACGCTAGAATTCACAATGATTCACGCACTTTACTTACGGCTTGACTCGATTATCTGTCTCTATATCTCTCTGTCTGCAATTCAATTATCGCCCTCACTTTATTTGCTGGCTTATATACTAAAATAGAGGGCGCCTAGCAAATACTGCATTGCAGAGAGACCTTTTTCTAAAACGGCTAGAGTAAAAAATGAATTACTTGCTTCAATGTTAAATGAATGCTTTAATGACCTTTCCCTGCTCAAAATAGAAAGGACATTGCTTAGGCAAATAGATCAGGAAAATGCAGTTAGAGATTTTGTTTCCACCAAAGTAAGGAAAAAAATGATTTTAGGGTAATGTTTTGGCATGCTCCTGTAATGTTGTACAATAACTATATTGTTATTTATGTACCTAATTCATTCTTACTTGCCATGTGAATAATTATTATTATAATCGTTTAATTTTAATATATCATCCTTAAAAGTTAGATGCATCATATTCTAATTTACTTCAAATAGTTAGCTCATATTCTGTAATTAACTTAATATGTATTAATTATAATTAATTTCAAATTTGCTTGTACCCTATTCAAGGGGCCTTAAACTACCTTCATGCAGGCTCGAAAATATAGAAGAAACAAGTCGACTGCTTAATACTTCTACGACATTCTTAGTACCTTATTTAGCACTCTACAAAAGGTTTGGGTCCAATATACTAAGCCGTTTTTATTGTAGGCTGGCAAGAGAATAATAATAAGAAGAAAAATTACAAACGGGTCGTTTGAGTGGAATTTCTTTTCCTTGTAAGTCTAACACGCGTGCTGTTTTCATGTGTGTATTTTTTATATATGTATAGACATAGCAGTCAATAGTAAGGGTTTTAAAATGTTGTTTAAACCAAATATTTACTTTCTAAGGTGCTTTTTTGCCTGAGAGTTCTATTACCACTATCGTGGTATATAATTACGAAATTGTATGAACAACAACTCTTATGGTGTTAGCTACATTAAGTTGGGGAACTGTATTTTTATCAGTTTTATTCATGTCATTTACAAATCAAATTTGTAACATATTATTTTACATTTATTCTAACAACAATTATTTATACCTATTGTTACGACAGCGGAAATCACGTGACTCTGGTAACACGTGATGAGTTTCTAGAAGGATCGGGGAACATCACGAATACTTATAAAAAAATTAACAGTCATATCCTGCCTAATAATATATTAATTACTTAATGTTCTCATTTATTGACCAGGTAGGTCAATGAAACAGCTTAGCAAGCAGTTCAAAGATATTTAGGGAATATATTATAAAATAAGGCTATTCATACATTAAGTTTTAAAAAATATTACCTAATTTTTGTTGAAGTTTTATAAACTTTTTGAATTTAAGGCTTTCTTACGTACAAAGCACTTTTAATAGTTAAAATGAACAGATGAATAATAATTAAAAGTCAAATGAAAATATAGTTTTAACTCACTCCCACGCCTACCTCTACCTTGCTGTAAATTACAATTTGTTAATAGATTTTTATAAGGCCGACACCCATTAAATTTATAACCAATAGATAGCTTAGATTTCAGTTGATTGACTGGCATATGTTTTATACCATGTGATATTACAGATAATTGACAATTTAGTTGAAGTGAAAAAATTTCTTCCTACAAGAATATAATGGGAGCTAAAGTTGAATTTCTAACTGCTCAAGTCATGTGATTAGAGAGCTAGAAAAATTTATTTTTCTCTGATCTCTGACTTGGCAATGGAATTTGAACTAAGAATGCATAATCTTGTTATATTATAATAGTTAGATTAGGTATTATATCATTTTATTTTTTATTTATTTATTGTTTTTTGTCTTCATTGACATTGGTTTTTGCTTTTACCATGAGAAAATTGATGCATCCAACCCAACATGCCTTTTACAAAATATTTGGCATTAACTGTAACATTTAACAAGTTATATGGTAGGGGAGGCATACAGAGCTTCTTTGGTAAAGAGCATTGTTAGAGAGAGAACTGGTTTTCAAATAAATGTACATCAACGACTATGGTTTAGGATGGGAACTAAGGTATGACATTTTGTTTATTTATTGTTCCTTTCGTTAACATTATTGGTATTCTTTCTACTATATTAAATATAATTACATTTATTTATTTTAATTTGTCATTAATTATCAAACTTGTATTATAAGTTTAGAATTTGTACTTAAGACTATCCTAAGTCTCCTCATGAGATAGTATTTGGTTTATGGCTTTAAATGTTGTTGACAGTGAAGATATACAACTAATGAAACAATTTGTTCTAATCTTTATAAGTAGAGGCTTAATAAAAGTGTATTTAAGTAGCTCTACTGATGGTCAGGTTCAGTTTTAGTTTCACTGATCAGAAATTTTTATATACAAACACATTTTTCCTATTTTCCAAAAGGAATACATAAGATCATTGAACTGTTTTTTTGCATTGGAATTAAATTATATGATCTAAAATCAGGCTCCTGTTTGAGCATGACCCAACACACTTCTCACAGTTATGAACAAGCCGTGTGTGTGTGTGTGTACACAATAGTGGCTTCAGGATTATCAAGTTGACTGAGTGGAAAAAAATACTTTGCCAATGAAAATGTAGTGATTATTGAATATAAACCTGCTTTCATTAGGCAATCATCAGCAATGCATACATACTTTGTAATGATTTGACTGTTTTGCTTAATATGTGTAGAATAATTTGGTAAAGTTACCAGACTCCAGATTTTCATAATATTTGAAAGTTTAATAAATCTTCAAGACCATTTTAAAGAAAAAAGGGAAAATTAGCATCTCAAAAATAAAGTAAGTTATGCATTTTAGATTGTGTTAAACAAAAAAGAATTAGAACAAGCAAGAGAAATATACGAATGTAACTCGATAACATTCAGAAAACCATTGGTTAATGTGGAGTAATTACTGTATATCTGTAGATCCCCAACTCATGCAGGAGGGTTGTTTGCCATCAACAGAAAATATTTTCTAAAGATTGGGGCTTATGATCCTGGATTGTTAGTATGGGGTGGAGAGAACTTTGAGCTATCTTTCAAGGTTGGTTGGAACTTTCCATACCTCAGTTATATAAAATTGTAGCTATATTATTTTTTTTCCATATTATGTCAGTAAACCTAGTCTCACCAAAATGAAGGATTTTTATATGAATAAAATAATATTGTGTACAAAAATATTGATCTGGCTTTCCTTGACTGCAAGTACAATAGAGCTGTAACAACTTAAATAATCAGTTTAAGTTGTTACAGCTGTTTAAGTTATTTCATAACATTTTGAGTAAGTCTTTGACTTTGAGATAGAATTTGAAGTGCAAAAATCACAGTGAAATGAAAATCAACAAAACTGATTTTTATTGAATTACATTTTGCTTGAACATATTTACAGTTTTGGCTAATATAATTTCTAAAATTATTTGAATTGATGTTGTCTTTATCAATTCCAGATTTGGCAATGTGGAGGCAGCATTGTATGGGTACCATGTTCTAGAGTAGGTCATGTATATCGTGGGTTTATGCCATACACCTTTGGTAAACTTGCCCAGAAACGGAAAGGTCCGCTGGTTACATTAGTAAGTACTGTATTCATACTAAAAGCTTGTTGTTTACATTAGTAAACGACGTATTCTGAATAAAATATTTTATTCTCTTTTTCTCAGAATTTTTGTTTATTGTTGCTTTATGTGGCAAAACTGCACAAAATAATTTTTAATACTCATGGGCATACAGTCTTGAAAAATTGATTATCGTAATGTGTGTGTGTCAGGAGAGGAAATATACATTTAACAATAGTGCTGCATGTAATGAATAAAGAAATAATCCAAAAGAAATTTCCAGTTTAATTTCTGTTTTCTTATAATGTTTGCTAAAAACTACAGTATATTTATTTAAAATAAAGTATCATGTGTAAAAGTAAAATTACACCATTGCTTTTGTACTTAAAACATGGACATAACTTTCACAACTTGATGAAAAATAACAGAAGTTTAGAGAAAATGAATCTTCTATAACTGTGTTAGACTTATAGAAATGTTCTCAATTAATACTCTGACTATGACTAAATGTCATTCACCAGGTTTTGGTACAGTGAATTCATTGCCAAGTCAGTATCATTCTATAAAATGCAAGATGTTGCTTCAGTATCACATTCACTTTTAGAACTTTCATTGAGGTATAATATGGTACCTTCATAATTTATTCTAATAATCTTAAAGTGTAGTAATATATATATATATCTGTTGTTGTTTTAAGCAAAGTATAATCTAGTGCAGTGGTTCTCAATCTGTGGTCTGCAGAAAGGTTGCGTTGTTAAGGAAAGGAAGCAACATCATGGTCTATAGGTTTTATTGTGGTCTGCTGAGATAAAAAAAATCATGAGGTCCGAAAACAAAAAGGTTTGAGAAATACTGATTTAGTTTAACTCTACAGTATTTTGTGATTCCTTAGTCTTTATCTTGCTTATTTTTGTTTGCAGTTGCAAAAGTAATTTTGCATTTCATCATTCTTTGTTTTTATAAATATAGTACTCCCATTTGTATTTTTTTGAGTTCGGTAACTCTTCTCATTGTTTTCATTATAGTCTTTCTTTTACTTAGTGTTTAAAAAATCACACATATTAACCTGGAAAGATGACACGACTTGGTTTGATCTTGGAAATATTAAATACTTTTATATTGTTTTTTTAAATAATAAATAATTAAAAAATTGTGCCAAAATATTGAATTAAGTTAAGTTTGAAATATGTAATGAAAATAATTATTAATAGTAAAGCTTCAGAATTTTGTATTGCATCAGCTGATGTTTGCATCTTGACTTTATTGACTACAAGTTTTTTATTTTTCTCATTCATGTTTAAGATATTTTACCTTTTGCAATTTTCATTTGGCATTCAAAATCAAAGGCACTCTATCCTAGTGCTAAATGATTTCTTAAAACCAGTTTAACATTATTGTATGTATAATATTAATCAGAGCAAAATATCAGTCATCACTTATATGGAAAAGCAGTTAAGTTCCTATTAAAAGTAAATTTTTAAAGAGCTTCAAAGCAAATTTAATTTACATCCACTATTAAACTTTGATATATATTTTTTTTTGTGTAAGTGTGTGTAGAATAATTTTTTCTTAAACACTAAGATTAATGTTTTTTGTACCTAGACTTTGTCTTAGTAGTCTGTCAAACAGGACTAAGTTGAATCCAAATTTTAAAAGATAAAAGAAATTAAAGTTGTCTTATTTAGATACTTCAATGAATATACAAAACCATACAAAAATCTCTACATAAGTAACCAGTAAGTACTGAGTCAGTCTTATATGCTTATGGTTATCAGCCACTGTAAGACTGTATAGTACTATTCAGCTTAAATGCTTTTATTCAAACCTGAATTCATGCAACTGACAGGATTTCAACATTTGACTGTAGATAAAAGTTATTCTTGAAAAGATTTGGCTACTTTAGTAGTGATTTTTGAATAGCTTTGTGTATTCATCCCTACCTTGTTTCTGTACTTTTTAGTATTGTCATCTCTACATCATACTTAGTTTTTGCAGTTTTTTTATTTATTACTTATTTAAAGTGTCATATGCATTGAAATAATAAAATAACATAGTGCTTTGCAATCATAAGTCATGATCATGGAATACTATTTAGAATGTAAAAGTTTTAATTTTGTAACTTGGTTCATTTTAAGCACTTCATTGCAACATCACCAATAACAAATTGTTTTTCTTAAAATCTTCAAATAAAAGAGCAATGCAAGATAATAAAGTACAAAGATAAGTTTCAAATTTCATGTGTAAAAGACATTTACATTAAAGATGTTAACCATTTTTATTTTAGCCCCATTGTTCATTAATAAAGCATGTATAATTTGGTAATTTCTCAATGCTATTATTCAGTAGATCTTACAATTAAAATATATAAATAAATTTGAAGCCCAATCTATCATACTATTTGATTCACCATATAAATATGTTTTGAAATTTACCTTAAAAATCTTAATAGTTTCTTTAGCCCATTGTTCATTAATAAAGTACGAAAACGTAACTTAGTAATTTCTAAAAGGTATTCATTAGATCTAAAGAATAACTATAATCTGCAAATAAATATATGAAGCCAAATCTTTCATTTTATTCATTATATAAAGACATTTTGAAATTTACATTAAAGATGTTAACCATTTTTTTAGCCCATCTCATGTTTCTTGAAGTAAAATTGTTTAATTTCAACCCATAGAACTATAAGAGGGTTGTAGAGGTGTGGATGGATGAATACAAAGAATATTTCTACACTCGAGAACCAATGGCACGACAGTATGATGCTGGTGACTTGTCTGAACAATTTGATCTTCGTGAGAAGCTACAGTGTAAAGACTTCAAGTGGTACATGGACAATGTAGCATATGATGTGTTGTACAAGTTTCCATTGTTGCCTAAAAATTTATACTGGGGTGAGGTAAGTTTAATTCTTATCCAGTATTATAAAAGTTTATTATATTTCATCGATATGCCTTCTGGTATAAATAAGCCACACTTTATCCTGAACATGAGCAAGTTCTTATTGCTGCTTTAAATTTCTTCTTCAGAAAGTTTACATTTTTACCATTTGTAAGAATTTGCACAGCACCTGATGTTTTACCAGCATATTTACATCAGGTTTTCAGACATTTTTCCATACATTTTAAACATTTAGTGAGAGTTCATGTAAATCGTTAATACAAATAAAAAAAGTAGTCTCCACCAGTTGAAAAAGTTTTTTATTTGTTTAAGAGCAATTTTAGTGATTGTGAGTATCACTGAACATGCAATCAGAGAACAGATCTACAAAGATCAAAATCTTTGCTTTCAGCATGGTATTTTTCTATATTTTTGATGAATATTTGGCTCCTTGGGTTCCATGAGAGTATTTTTGTACAGAGGTATTCAGATAAAACACAGAGATTAAAAAATCATCCTACATTTCTAATGATTATACATTTTTATCATATTTTATTTTATGTTAAGTTCCATTTTTTTTAACACATCTCTAGGAAGCTGTACCTTCCATAGTAAGAGAAGAGTTTACATATTATTGAAATGATGTTTTTAATGAAGAGCATGATGACAAGCTAGATTTATTCATTGAGTATTGTTGATTGGATGTGTAGCATTGTAACAATAAAGAAAGATGATAATTTGTAGGATATTGTTGTTTAGGTACGCAGTATGTTAACAAGTCACTGTCTGGATACGATGGGATCACAACCTCCGTCTTCTGTGGGCTTGAGTCATTGTCATGGCTCAGGTGGAAATCAAGTGAGTACTGTATTCTCTGGAATCTTATTTTCATGTTAACATTTAAATATCAAACAGCAGGATGTTTTATTAACTTGAGAATAAAACTCAGCTGTTGGCTTACAAAGATGGCTGGCTGATATTGAGAGAAATATTTCACAGTTTTTCAATATATGTATACAAAGTACACCCATAATCTAGGTAAGGAGTAAAATATAGCAAGTTGATAAATCTATTAGACAGGTAATGATTTACTGCAACCTTTTGTACTTGGATCTTTTTCCTTAACTCTTGAATCAGGAATTTATGCATGAACTAGTAATATTATTATACAAGATTTTATGTTCGGTATCATCTAGTTTATATTTGTTTTGTTAAAAATGAATATTAATATTAAATCATTCTTTTGACACTTGAATATCCAATGTACATCTATGTGGTAAGTATTTTTTAATGTTTTAAAAAATTTGAATTATTGCAACTAGACCAATATATTCAAAGAATTTTCAACTCTGTACATAAATAACTTGTATATAGTTGTTGTGTGTACAAGTTAAAGATGATGAGCTTTACTGTCACTGGATATTTATATTAAACATCAAATTTCAAGTATTGGTTACGTAAGTGAAATTTTGTATTTTTTAACTGCGGGTGAGTGGTTCATAGAATGGCTCTGAGTTTTTTTTTCATGTACAAACTTTTAGCTCATAGCTCCATCATTTCTTGACTGATTTCAGAACTAATTCAGTTGATTTGTTTGACCATACCCAAGGCCTATTAAACTAATTTCCATAATAGAATTTCAGTATGAGGGTAGGCTGGTGGAGATGCTGATGAATAATAAAATCAAATCGGATATATGCGTGCCTCATGCTTGATATTGCTGGCACACAAAAATATAGCTAATAAAAAGGAAAACAAAGATCTCTTAGATTAATCTAAACTAATCCTGCCTGAAAGAATTTCAAGTGCTGCTGCTATTGAGGATTCCCTCTTGTTAGATGTTGTGTAGTTGTTGAAATATTTTTATTCATTTGTGTGTGTGTAAGTATATTTGAGTTTTCTTGGTTCATATATATGTTTGTCAATGCTGTTTCATCATTTCTTGATATATCTGTTTAAAAAGTATTTTGTTAAATTTAATGGTAAAGTCTCTTGTTTTTTACTTAAATTTTAAACTATACATTTCAAACTACTAGGTTTTCAGACTAAATGAAGAAGGTCAACTTGGTGTTGGGGAGAGGTGTATTGAAGGGGATATGCATCACATCAAACTTGTATTCTGTCGCTTAGGGACTGTTGATGGTCCTTGGCAGTATGATGCTGTAATTATGACTTATTTTATTTGTTTATACTTTATATTCATATTTTCATAGTTAATTCTTTTTTTTATTGTGGTTAGCAAAATTTTATTCATATTTGATTAATTCTCGTGTTGAGCACATTTTTTAAATATTTTTTTGGCAAACATTTGACTATTTAGAACATATATTCAATATATTTATACAAGGTTTTTAATAATTATAAAACACTTACTTTATTTTAACAATTTTAGTTGAAAAATAGTATTACCAAATTCATATGCACCCTGGAAATATGCTTGAAAAGTGACTTCCCATGCCAGTGGTTTAGAATAGTTGTTGAAAAATAAAGTATTTCTTATATAGCTTCCTTACATCATATGTTTTAAATAGTCATATACATTCAATACAAATGAAAGTTGCAAATATAAAATCTAAAAGACTGAGAATATATAAGAGCCAAAAGAAAATGTTTTTTTCTCTCTTTAAATGATGGCATATAATGCCAATTGCTAGGTTGTAGTTTACAGTAGCTTCTTCTTTTTTTAATGTGTCTCAAGATATGGAAATACCACAGAAGAATATTTTTATTGTTGTAAATTACAGATATACTGATACCAATATTGTAAATTTGTTTTAGGTTGATAATTGAACTTAGTGATAGTATGGGCTATCATAAAATACATCTACTCATATATTGTTAAAACTGATACTTAAAGAAAAATAACGGGAATTTAGGTAACTTGTATATTAATGTTCAATTGATGCATCATGTTTTACAAACATGTATTTTTAAAAGTCAGTGTTTTAAAGATGCATATCTTGCAATAACATTAATTGTAAAAAGAATTAAAATTCCATATTTTGAAATGTCAGTTTTAATTTTTTATATGTAAAAAGTATACCAACTTGTGAGGTTTTACATAAACTACACTTAAAAAACTATTGACAATAGGCCTAATTAAACAGTTCTTTATAAATGTCAAACCTATGATACTGAATGGTTTTTAATTTACTTTGCATTTACTATCCATAATCAGTGGTATTGACGATGAGGGAAAAGTTGTGTTTTTTGGTGCAATCATTGAGGTAAGAAGATCTTACTTCCATGGGTACATTAAAGTGAGTAAATATCACAGCAAATTAATGCAAGAATGGATAAGTGTCATTTCAATTGAAAATGGTCTGTAAATGTAAAAACAAAGAACAGGTTGTTGAAAATTTCTATAAGAAATATTGTGCCTGTTGTATAGTTTTGATAAATTTTAGCTATTGCCAATCTGCTTGAGGCAGCACTATCCAGCCACATCTGTAGAAAGAAACATATATCTTAGATCTCACAATTCAAGTCTGATATATGGTGCAAATTGATAACCATAATAAACACTGGATAAGAATCATCGAGCCTAAAATTATTTCAGCTCATTACTACAGAAGTAAACTGATAATTTTTCATCGTACACCATGTTAATACAACTGCTGTGTCAGCCTAACAACCTTTAAATATGGGAATTTTTAATAAATCCTGGAAAAGCCTTTAAGAAGTCCTGGAACCTTTTTACTTGAAAAGGATATGAACCATGGTATTGGCTCAGCCATGTATGGAAAGCAAAATCACTGAAGTTTGTAAAAATGAATGACACTTATTGAGAAAGACTAAACTCTCTGAAGTTTTTGGCTTTAAATTGGGGAAAAAAAACAGGCTTTTGTTCTGATGAAAAATTGACCATATTTTAAAGAACAATTTGTCCTTCTAAGCTATTATATGACTGGTGTTAGAATGAAACTTTAGTAATGTGTATAAAATGGGCCTTTAAAAAGCCATTTGGTCCCCAGGATGTTCATGTGAGGCATTTTTGTATAAGTGTGTTCAGGTCAATTACACAAAGTTTTAAACTTTACCTTACATTTCAATGAATATTTTTTGCCATACTGTATATCATCATTATCAGGTTAATGATTAGATAGTTATATATAAAAATCCTGTACTGTGTTCATAGCTTTCAGGTGTTCAGTACTGTTATTGCATTATTATTTTTTTAAAATGACACATTTTTTCATGTTACATCTAGCAGTACTTCTAATTTTCTTCATAGGGTATGTGCAAATAATAGAAATATATTATTATACAGTGCCTTGTAAAAGTATTAACCCCCCTGCAAAGTTTCCACATTTTGTTGCCATCTGAGCTTGCAATCATGAAACTTTCAAATGGGACTTTATATTTAGAATCTACATAATCTACTCCAAATTGAGAAAGCTAAAAAAACCTGATATTATGTAAGTAAGTTAGATCTTCAAAGAAAATTAGAAAATACTTATTGCATAAGTATTCAACCCCATTGCTATGGCAACCCTAAATCAGTTCAGGTGCAAACGATTAGTTTGAAAGGTCACAAAATTAGTGTAATGTTCTCTGTCTGTAAGTAATCTAAGTGTTTTAACTTGACTTCAGAGTAAATGCATCTGTTCAAGCCACAAGTCGCATAGTGATACAACAAACCAACCATGAAGACCAAGGAGCTTTCTAAACAAGTCAGGGATAAAGTGGTAGAGAAGCAAAAGTCAGGAGAACATTACATGAAAATTTCAAAGTTGCTGATTATCCCTTTGAGTATGGTAAAGTCCATCATTAAGAAGTGGAATGTGTTTCATACCACCAAGTCACTACCCAGATCAGGCCACTCTTCCAAACTAAGCAGCAGGTAAGCAGGAAACTGATTAGGGATGCCACGGCGAAGCCAACAGTGACTTTGAAAGACTTGCAAAGTTCCATGTCTGAGATGGGAGTCATGTTCCTACATCAACAATATCCCAGTCCCTACACAAAGCTGGCCTGTATGGGCAAGTGGCAAGAAAGAAGCCAATACTGATAAAGAATCATCTTAAATCTGGTATGTAGTTTACAACAAAGCATGTAAATGATACTGCAGACACGTGACAGATGATTTTGTGGTCAGAAAAAGACATAATTTAAGTTGTAGTTTGAATTTAAAATGTTATGTCTGGCACAAACCTAACACAACACATCATCCAGTCAACTCCATCCCAACTATCAAGCATGATGGTGGCAGCATCATGTTATGTGGATGCTTCTCATCAGCAGGGACTGGGAAGCTTGTCAGGATTTGGGGGAAAATGGATGGTGCAAAGTACAGGCAAATCCGGGCCTGTTTGAGTCAGCCAAGAGTCTAAAACTCGTTCAAACATTCACATTTCAGTAGGACAATGACCCGAAGCACAAGGCCAAAGCCACGCTGGAGTGGTTTCAAGAGAAGAAAGTGAATGTCCTGGAGGGGCCTAGTCTAAGTTCTAATTTTAATCCAGTAGCAAATTTATGGTGAGACTTGAAGATTGCAGTTAATCAATGATCTCCAACGAACTTGTCAAAATTGGAGTAATTTTGCCAGGAAGAAAGGCCAAACATTACACCATCCCATTGTGCAAAGCTAGTAGAGACCTATCCAAAAAGACTCATAGCAGTAATTGCTGCCAAAGGTGCTTCCACCAAGTACTGATTTACAGGAATGAATACTTATACAATCAACAAATTTCAATTTATATATTTTCTTTGCAAGTTTTGGTGACATCCAACCTCCTTCACACATAACAATGTTAAGTTTGATCATTAGAGTTTTGAATAAAAACAAGTTCAATAAAAAAGAGATTGTTTACATTATTTGTATTTCATCAAAATGTCACATTAGTGGTAGGGGTGAATACTTTTGTAAGAATGGTTCTGTAAAATCCTTTCTTAGCAATAATAGCAATTAATAATTGTTAAAAATGGCTGATTATTTTAAAAGTAATTTTATTTTAATTGATATGTGGTAACAAAACCTTGGAAATTGTTTCTTTTTATTGTTGAAAAGCATAAAATGTTTAAACTATTGTAATAACCATAATTTTCAGAATACGAAGATGCTTCACCATCGCCACCATCAGAAGTGTCTCCAGCTCACTCCTCAGAGTAGTCAACTTCATCTTCAGGAATGTAAAGAAGAGGAAGGTGGACAGAAGTGGATATTCAGAGAACTGAAAGTCGTCTAAAATTTGTTTAATAAATATAAATTACCAATAATTTAACATTAAAGACCTTTGTACTTATGTTTCAGAGAAAAAAAAACTGAATTCCATTTAACAAATCACAATTCTATGTACGGTGGCATCAAGTAAACATTTGTACACAAACTATTGTGGCATGGATAGTGAGCATTGAGAAGGTTCGTGTAATAATTTTCAGTGGGGATATCATTTGTATAAGAATAATTATTGAGTTTGTAAATTTTATTAAAATGAAAGTCCCACAATTATAGGAAATACTGAAATCTACAATTTGATATTGCCTTAATTTTGTATTCAGTGTTTGTTAATCTTTTTAATTTTTATAAATTGTAGATAATATTTTCTTTCTTTCTTGTAAAAAGAGAAAAAAAAACGAATATCAATGTGAACAAATATATATATAGAATGAACTTGGAAGGATTGGCTCAAGATCAACATTCCGGCACACTTGCATTTGCTTTCATCAGAGCAGATCTTTTTACTCTGTGTAAGTAAAATGATTAAAGACATTGTAACTGATAAAGCTTATTTCTTTGCTAGTGTGAAAGGTTTAACAGTACCTAAAATAAATGTGATGAAATTCATAATAGGTGCATTTTTTGCTTTAAATTTAGATTTTATGTTTTCAACAAACTTCCATTTCTTTATTAAAATTTTTTTTGAAATAGGGTTGTTACTCTGATGAACAGTATTCTCTGTAAGTTTATCTGTGTGAATTTTATTTACTTTTGTCTTTCAAACTTCATTTTATCTAAATAAAAAAAATTGCTGATTCTCTTCAGGTCTGAAAGCATGTTGCAGACAATTTTTAGCTTGTTCTTGCATTCAAAGGAAACTGGGTTTTGTTATTGTTGTGGTCACGCACAATCATTAGTGCTTGTAAGTAAATAACTCTACAAATGTGTCTCAAAACATTGATCCTGAACCAATCCAACCAAGGCAGTCTTGATTAAAAGTAATATGTGAAGTAATTGGTGCCTAATAGAATCATAAGAGAACAAAACAATTATTTTTGGAAAAAAAAAATATTAGCTTTTTGTTTTTTATATAAAAAGTATTAATGAAGAAATTACATTTATCATCATCTAATCGACTGCTTGTCAAAGTGATCTAAAGATATTTTTCATATGTGTTACATTAATCAGTTCAGAATTTTTCTAATGATTTTATTTAAAGTAGCATCAATTGTGTTATTTTTATTTAATTTTATAATTACATTTCATTTTGTTCTTTAAAATCAGACTGCACCACTTGTATTTACGTAGCATGAATGTTAAATGAGAACTGTCTTTATTGCAGAAACTACATAGTCACCACTGCTGTGACTTACATAGCTTGGATGTTTAAGCTTTCACAACACTCTTTATTACTGAAACACTATAATTGCTTCTACTGTGATTTATATAGCTTTGAGGTTTAAACTTTAACAATAATCTTTATTACTGAAATTTTTGTAATAATTTGTACTGTAATTTACAAAGCTTGGATGATTTAACTTTAACAATAATCTTTATTACTGAAACTCTTCTTAATAATTTGTACTGTGATTTATATAGCTTTGAGGTTTAAACTTTGACAACACTCATTATTACTGAAACACTTCCTAATCCCATGTACTATGTCTTTACTAGCTTGGATATTTAAACTATGGCAACAATTCTTTTTACTACAATCCATGTAATTATGTTGTGATTCTGTTATTCAAGTAACTATTTATAATACATTTATTGCTGAGTTATAACTAATCGAAAACTGCACATTTAATCTTAAATCTGGTCGAAGAGTTGTATAATTTGCACAAAATTGCTCATTCCTCATGGAACCATATAGTTGAATGAACATATCATGTTGCTAACACTTTTCTTCATATGAGATAAGCTGTTAAAACAACCTTTTGATGGTATATGCACATGAATGTATTCAGAATAAACAAAGAATACATACAATATAACAACCCTCTGTCTGGTATGCATGTATAATATAAATGTATTTAGAATAAAGAATACATACAATAAAACAACTCTTTGTCTGGTATGTACACATACTATAAATGTATTTAGAATATAGAATACATACAATAAAATAATCCTTTTTCTAGTGTGAATGTATACAGAGTAAACAAACAATACACAGAATAAAAACAGGACAATATTCTCACTCTATTATTTAAAGTATTGTGAATAATATCTGTCCATATGGAACCCATAGTTACTCCATCCAACAGTATATTGTTTTTTTTACCTGATACTTTAATAGTTTTCTTAAATGAAACAGAGATCTTATGAATTAATATGCTTTGTAATATGATACGAAACAAACTGTAGTCAATATGTTGTTCATATTCCATCTCCCAGACATGAAATGACAAAAGAAACTTTGTTTTTATATGTAAACTTGACTCTACAGAAACATCCTTACCTGTGCATATACTTCTGTAGACATTTTAAGAGATTTGTAGTTTTTTTGTTTTTTTGAACGAATGTATTGAGGGCAGATAGTTATGTCTCTGTAGAGAGATGTACTATTTTTCTATCATCTCTTCTTTCTTTTTTTCTTCTTCTTCCAAGCACTTTTCAATTCACTGCCATTCCTTCATTTCACAATGGATTAGTTTGAAACTTGTTAGGGCTATACCTTAGTCCAATATGCCCAGAAACCTTTTTAATTTTTTGATTTAGGCATTTTTTTAAGGATATTATGGGATCAAAGGTCAAACAACCCAAAGATATGGTTTGTATAACTAAGAACCTTGAAGTTCTGTGGTTTCATATTCCCCAAGTTTATTCTTAATTAGCTACCTAATATATATTTTTTTTTCATATAGTACTTATCTATTTCTTCATGTAATACAGAATTTATCACATCTCAAACCACTGGCAAATTTGAGTTTTTTAAAGGTTTTAAAGATATAATGGTAATATTTTTATACAGTATTTTACTTTGGTAGTTACCTTTGTTGTTATTTACTGTTCTTGATATACTACTCTTTTTTTTTTAATCATATGTTCTAAGCCAAATGCCCCCTGGTGACTCAGAGGTAAGTTTAAAAGTTGATTTTCAATAACAGTGGTGAACAGAGCACACTGGTCCATTGTGTATCTTTATGTTTAACAACAAACAAATCCAAGCTTAATGTTTTCTGGTGTTTCAATGGTAAGCTCGAGAGCCTGTAATGCTAAACATTGTGGTTTTATACCCATAGTAAGCACAACATAGATAGCATTGTGTGGCTTTGCATTTAAAAACAATCAAACCTTTCAACTTAAATTTGGACAAATGAATTGAATATCTGCCTGCAGGTAAACATAGTGACAATACAAAGTGTAATATTAAAAAGTGCAAGCAAATCCTTTCCACATGCTATAAGCACTACTGGTTTCAATTCTTCAAAATAAAGGAGATAATCAATTTAAACCCCTGGTGACCAATATTTTAAAGTCCATTTCTTAGTCTACTCTGTTAGCATAACTTCAGTTGAGCATGGAGAGTAATGCAGCGGTAATTGACCCCAAAACACAGCTTTGTGTAGATTCCAGATCTTGTAATACGGTGTTGGTTGAATAAAGCACAGCCTCGTGTAGATTGTAGAACTTATAATACGGATTTTAGCATAATGATTTTATTTTGACTGGCAAAAGAGTTTATAACATGCTGGTTATCTAGTGTAATTTACCAGCAATAACAAAAATTATCTGTCCTTTTTTTCTAGTGAAAAACTGGGGAAAAGGCAAAAATAACTTAATTAAATATTTTCTAAAGTTCTAAATTTTTTTGAACATTAGGATTAAAGATAACTTGGTTTCCAATGAATATGTTTGTGCTTTCTAACGTTGGTATGTTTTTAACCAAAAAATAGCTCTTGCCTCTTATGAATTACATTGAAAGCAGACTTGTGCATGTCAACAAAAAAAAAACAGGTAAATCTTATAATTTTGGAAATTACAGTTAAATGATATTAAGCTTTCACAGCATAGCCAAATGAAAATTTGAATAATCTAGAAGAAGTAAAAAATAATTTTGAAAAGTAGCAGTTTTCTGTTGAAATAATTTACATTTGGTATTTGAAGTAACATGAATTGTTGGACCTCTTACTTCTTTATACTTATGTTTTATAGCATTTAAAATACAATTTTAACAAATCAGAATGAACCTAGATGTTATGTGTACTATTTACTTTTATTTATTTTTACACGATATATTGAATTGTAAATGCTTGAAAAGAAACTTTTATAATTTATAGCATCAAATCCCACAAACAAAATACTATATTATGTTTATATTTTTCTTGCTTAAGCTACATACATAAAGCTTTTCAATTAAAAATGATTTCATGTAAAGTTTAGTTTTAATTGATAATGTGCCAATTGACAACTGTTATTTCGAATTCTTTAATGTCATATTAGTTTCAAAGTCTGAAGAGTATAAAATTATGGGTATAGATTTTTAAGTAACATTCCTTTTTTCAATTTAAAAGTATTTAGACAGAGAAAAAAATATTTTAAAATTAATTCTTGGTCATAAATTATATAGACCAAATAAATGCATTTACCTCATCATGGCATTTTAAATTGGGTATAGTACTAGATTATTTCATGAGAATAAAATCACAATTGTAACAAATGTTGTGTTAGCTAGGTTTTTATTCCACCTGCTGTTCAGTAATTGGTAGCATGAGTATGTACAAAGTTCTTCATATATTCACTGTAATTTGAATGTTATGTTTTACCTGTTTAGTAAAACATCCAAGACTGAATACTGTAAATGTTACAGTATCAAACTTTTATAATTTAACCATTTTAAGGCTCTTGCACATTCCTTAAAATTACATATGGAGTTGTATTTGATTGTTTTGGAGGATTTGCCAATTTAGGATTGCAAGTGCTTGTACTGATCTCTAAAATTTAAATGTTTGTATATGATGTGTAGGGATCCCTTCCTTATGTTATGTAGGTGTTATGGTCTGAAATTTTTAATAGTATGGGAAGTTTCTATATGTTTTATGTCCAAAAGGATTATTGACAAACCAAAATTTCTATTACGTTTTCTTTCTTGAATCAAATTTCTTATATTGTTTGAGAATCATTAACCATGATAAGTTTTTAGTTATAGAATAAGCTCTTTTAAAAATATTTCACATTATACTCACTTCTGATGGTAAAAATGTAGGATGACATACAATTTTGAATATATAGTTAGAATTCCTTTATATATTTATATGAAACAGTTAATATGTACCTTTTTTTTGTATGTGCTCAAACTTGTGTACTATCTCACTAAGTAAATAAAATCTGTTTAAATAAAGGACTGTTAGTCTGTGAAGTTAAAAATCATACTGATCCTGTGATAAAAGTATTTTCTGTAAGGCAACTGCTATTATCATTTGGATCCATGCAAATTGTGTTAGAGATGTCTTCAAAACGTTTTGCCCATTTCACTGACATATGCAAGTAAGGTATATTTTCTAAGTATCTTTCATTAGAAACTGTTAATGTTAGGGTGAGAAAAAATATAGTTTGTACCTTTGAATTTTTTTCTGTAACATGTGAGATCTGTTATGAGTGTTTCTGTAGTATCCATTGTAGAAGTTTTATTCTCAAAATATTTTGTGTGTGTGTGTATGGAAGCTGATTGGTTTTATTAATAATGTATTTTGAATTTGAAGAACAAGGAATAGTTGTTAAATGTAAAAGATTTTATTTTTATCTTGATAAGGTATTCTGCCATCTGAAAAAAGTACATTGAATTTCTTTCCTTGTATATGAGCCACATTTTTTCATACCTTGTTTTAATGTAAAATTTTTCTAATTAATATCAAGAATAACTGAGGGGCAATTTTGTGTAAACTGCTTAATGAAGATGTAACTTTTCAACTGCTTTAAAACAATTCCAAAAGTTGATGTCTAATTTTCCATGGAATGATATTGCCTCAAGTTCTGGGATCTTGATATCAAGTGAAAGTTAATTTTTTGTAAAGAAACCAGTGTAATATGATTTTATATAAATTTTTTTCTTTTTTATAAGAGCTGTATAATAAGCACAAAACATTATAGAAGTATGTTTCTCCAAAATAGATTTCATTCACCAATGCAGACTTAAATAAGTAATTCTTAGCAAAATCCTTTGGAACTGACTTGTTTGTTGTATTTTGCTTAAAATAGTTTTTGTCTTACAGTGTTTTTGAAAACTTTGGATTTGTTTATCATATGAAGGTATTTGTTTAAAATTTAACCACTGAAGCATTTTTTTAATATGGCAAGTTTACTTTTAGCAAATTAGTTCTAAGTTTAAAATAAAATAAAAAATTGTGTATTTTATTCAAGTGTTACAATGAGGAGTATATGAAGCTTACCCTTTTTAAACTAGTGCAGGTGATCTACTGTTTTTTTTTGTGACTAATTTACTTTTTATTATTTTAATTTTAAACAATTTTCATGTATAGTGTGAGGAATATTCAAATCAGATGAGTTTGGTATTTTTCTAAAATGATGTTGGATAACATTTTTTATAAGAATTTTCCAAAATAAGTACATTCAAAGCCTCTGGTGAAACAGATTTACTGGTACTTTAATACCTTTCCATGCCTACTGAATTTGATTTGATTCTAACTTTCAATTACATTTTATTTCATATATAAAAATAATTTTAATAATAGGATTCAGTCAAGATTGACACTAAGTGTGTACAAACAAGATCTGGTTTTGGCATCTTTTTTTTTCTTCTTCTTGCATGGGTGTATTATAGTGTGTTTCAGTGTTTTTATTGTAACATTTAAATAAATCTAATTATATACATGTACAGTTTTTTTTTCTTTTCTGAAAAAAATTTATAATCCAGTTTATGAACTGGCCTGATTATAATAATCAAGAATTTTTAACTCATCATATATTTAAACTGAAATGTTAAAAATGAGAGGAAAAAGCAACAAATAAAAAAAAATATAGATGTTTAGTGACAAACTAATTTCTTTTTTAGCAGCAGTACACAGAGTTTTGATATGTTGATTTTGTAAAATCAAGTAAGAATTGTATTTACATTTGACATCTTTGTCAGTACTATGTCCAGTAATAATTTATAGAAGTTTGTGTATTTGGATCAGTATATTGTAATAAATTTCAGTTTTCCTTGTGTAATGGGTAGCACCCTCATGGGCTTAATTGTTGGAGTTTCAATTAAAACTACTCGCTACACCAAATTTATGTATTTGGAGGATTTGTTGTGACTATTGGAGTCACAAGTCACTAAGGTAGTTTACAGTTAGAATAAAGAAATAGAGTCTCAGGCCAGCAGTGAACAATTATAATAACAATTATTACTCATTTAATTAACATTCCATAAAAACCAAACTTCATTCAACAAAAGGTAAAACGTTAAATGCTTTTCAAACTCAGTTAATCATTTAGATACTCATAACACCATTAATACACATTTTCCATTGATACATAAGGATATATTTCAACATAATATTTTATAGAGTACTTGACAATGTGTAATGGTGGTATAAGTAAATAATGAAATATATACATTTATATAAATATATCGTTTCAGGTTCAGCAACCATTCTACTAAATTTTGTCAAAATAACACAAATTTGTCAAGTTTTTTCATTTTACTTGGATCCTTACAGTTAACAACACTTTATATGGAATACATTAGCATTGTTTTTGCTTTTAAAACCTAAGGATGTTTTTCTGCCTTCAATAGAATAAGGACAATTAAGTAAATAATGGAACTCACCACCAATTTCATTTTGATTAAACAATTTATAATTTTTCATGATTCACACTGAAAATTGATTATTGTTTACAAACAAAAAATTATTCCTACAGTGGAATTTAATTAAACTAAATCTGTCTTTGTAATCCAGTTCAAGTACATAATTTTCAATTTTATTGACTATATTCGGACAGTTTAGCATTCCATTCTTGTATATCATTAAGCATTTGTTTCATTGCTTTTTTTATGTAAATAGCTGAAGATCCATCACTTTCGTTTATCCATATATTAGTCAGACCAAATTGATTAAAAATATCATCCATCATACTTATCCTTTGTGACTGGAAAGGGTCATTTGGGTTTGCTTGTAATTTCTTTAAAAGTTTATACAGAATGAGTGAATACTTTTTCTTTTTACTATTTATTATTCCACACCAAAATGCTACCATTCTCTGTAATGAGTTTTGGGGTACCTGTTTCTCCATAAACCAAGTTATCTGTACAACTAGTAACTTGTAATACATTTTGTAGAAATTTCCTATAAAAAATTTCTATTTGATTTAAATCTTCATAACCCCATATTTCTCAACCATACAGAAGTATTGAAAGAACTAGTTTATGAAAGAAGTCACATTGAATATCTATGGGTAAATTTAGTTTCTTTGTTTTCATGAACATGTCAAAAGAGTCTTTCTAGCCTAATTAACTTGCTTGGCAATAGCTTTTTTTAAAACTACCATGATAATTAAATGTAACACCTAAATACACGTATGAACCAACTTTAGTTTTGCTGGTGTCGACAGTAAGCTTCCATCACTTACAATAATTGAACAGATACTGTACTGCATTTTGTAATTCATTTGGAGATTCGACCATTACAATTGCAGCATCATCATAAAGTGACATGTACAATCTTAAATATATTTCTATATCTTCATCGCTGAAATTATTTCTTATGTCTTCTGACAATACATTTAATTCTATGTAGGTAGTTCCTGCTAACATAAAATTCAAAGTCATTTAAATAAATTGCAAACTATATAGGTGATAAATTTTCCCCTTGTCTTACGCCAACATTACATGTAAATAATACTGACTTTTTACCATTGAGAAAAATACATGCTATTGCATTTTCATATATATTGTTTTTAACTTCAATTATTTTACCATTTACACCAAATCTTATAAGCTTTATCTGCAGTAAAGATCTATCCATTAGATCAAAAGCTTTTTTGTAATCAATAAAGGCACAATACATTCTTTGTTTCCTATTCAAATAAATGTTAATAATAGAATTAAGTACAAAAATATGATCTATGGTAGAAAATTCATCATTAATGCCTGCATTTTCATCATCAAAGATACCTGTGGCCTCTAAAAAGTTTGTAATTCTATGGTTAAGGGTTGCTGTAAAAAGTATGCACAAGCAATTTAATAAAGTTGTACTTATATAATTTTCTGGATTATTTACTTGACATTTGTTTTTATAAAGAGGCAAAATTAAACCAAATTCACCAATCTGTTGATATTAAACCAGTATCAAGGATAAAATTAAATGAATCTGTTATGAATTTAAGTATTTCAGTTGAGTAATTTTTTATACATTAATTTCTTATGTAATTTACTTCACAAGCTTTATTGTTCTTTAATTTTTATCGTATTTTTTATTTCATCTTGAGTAAAATTATAGTTTAGAACCACATTTATAGAAAGATTTATTGTTCTTGGATCAAATTCGTTCTATTCTGTTTTTGAGTCATCCATACATTTATTACTTAGTTCTTTAAAGTGATCAGTAAATACCTGTAATGGGATTTCAGTAACGTGTTTACTTTTACTCTACATTTTTGTGTATAATATTCCAGTATTCTTATGTATTATTACTTTCAATTTTCTTAAACTTATGATTTTTTTTTTCATGTTTTTGATTTAGTTTTAACAACTTTTTAATCTTCATTAAATCAGGGTTTGACAAATCTTTTGTTTGGTTTATTATTTTTTTGATTATCCTCTTTTTTTTTTTTACACACTCCTACTTCTTTAGCTACATTTATAAATAAAGTACTTACTTTATTACATACAAGATCTAAATCTACTTGACTAGGATTTATTTTAGAGATTCTAAATATGTTCTAAAATTTTGTATATAAATTATACTTAATGTAAATTTATATAATTCTGATAGAGCAGCATCCCACTTAAATACAAAATCATTTTGTTTACACTCTATACCAGTAACTCTAGATTCTTGAGTTTCACTTGTACTATGTTGAATAACAATTTGAATAACAGTTTGGAAGGGTTAAGGAAATTTGACAGTGTACATCTGACAAACAAGTACATTGAACATCAACACTATAGTTTGAGATATAAGGAAATAGTGAATAAATAGTACAATCAATACGACTGTTACCATTTTTGTTATTATAAGTATATGAACCAAAACATTTATCATCCCCGATTCTTTCATTAACAATTTTTATATCACCAGCTTGACAAAATCCAACAATTTTTTTGCCATTGTTATTTCTATTTTTATCCATATTAAAATGCTCTGTAACAATCCCAACCTTAGAACAATTATGTTGCACATTTACATACTTATTATACTTTTTGAAACCAGTAAAATTTGCCTCTGATTCAGTATTTATGAAATCATTGAATACACCAGTTCTTCCACTACAATCCACAATAATGCATTTTGGTGCATAAAATTTACTTTTCAAGTAGATTTTATCCTTTTCTAAAGTCCCGCCAAACGTGCTTTGCCCTTCCAGCCGTGGGGGCATTATAAAGTCACGGTCAATCCCACAATTCGTTGGTAAAAGAAAAGCCCAAGACTTGGCGGTGGTGGTGATAACTAGCTACGTTCCCTCTAGTCTTTCATTTCTAAATTAGGGACGGCTAGCTCAGATAGATATAGTGCAGCTTTGTGCGAAATTCAAAACAAACCAAAACCTTTTCTAGATTATCAAAAATATTTAAATAAAAATATATGAATTTCACAGGGAATATATATAGCGCCAATAATACATTCAAAACCAGTCATTTTGTCAGATAAAATTAATCACAGAACATTTTCAGACACACTATTGTTACGACAGCATAAGTCGCGTGACACTGGAGTTTCTCGATTTACCGAGGAACCCCGCGAATGTCCGAGTGTTTGCTAGACGCGCTCTTTTTTTAGTATATAAGCCTGGCAGAGAAGCCAGCGATATAGATAGATAATTAAAGAAGCGAACAGTAGTGACGGTAAGTAAAGTGTGTGAATCACTGTGATTTATAGCGTGTATTATAAAAGTTATTAAGTGACGAGAACTATTGACTGTGGAATTGCTGTGCTAAAAGTTTGTATCGAGAAAGAATAAACTGGTTTAACCAAGAAAGGACTTGTATCGCTGAAGTTTCTCGGAAAGAATTTGTACTGGAAGTTAACAAACAAGTAGATACGTAACAGTATATTCAATGTTGAATATACAAGACTGTTTAGTGTAAGAGTTTATCAGGGCCGTGATTCTTTTACAGTAAGTGTCTGTGACTTGTTGGCAATAAATGCGAACAATAAACAGACAGCACCCGACCCACTTGTTTTAACATAATATATTCAAAACAAATCAAACTTATATACAAACACTCTTTACACTATAGCCTATAGGATATCACAGTTGTATCTAAGGCTCTAAATAATTCTCTTTTCTTGTCAACACAGGTTAGGTCAGTTACTTTAGAATCCAATTGACAAGACGAATTATTCTTCTCTATCTCTCTTGCTCACAAAATAATCTGCAATAAATTCACATATGTTACCTCGTGGGTTATTCCAGTCGCATCCAGAACTTTAAATAGTTATCTCCTTTTCGTCAAAGTCCACACAGACTGGTTCAATTACTGCAGAACACCCTTTGACAATGAGCCCAGCATGTCCAGGAGGTTAGGGCACTCGACTCGCAATCTGCGGGTTCGGATCCCCTTCACACCAAACATGCTTGCCCTTTCAGCCGTGGGGGCGTTATAATGTGATGGTCAATCCCACTATTTGTTGGAAAAGAGTAGCCCAAGAGTTGGTGGTGGGTGGTGATGACTAACTGCCTTCCCTCTAGTCTTACACTGCTAAATTAGGGATGGCAAGCACAGATAGCCCTCATGTAGCTTTGTGCGAAATCCATAACAAACAAATCCTTTGACAAGACAAATTATACACATTATCTCTATTAAACTGAGACTCACTTTAAAATGTCGCCCGTTAGGGCTAAACTAACAAGCACACAGTCTAACTTTATTTTTTCTGACTTGACTTGCACTCACTTGGTAGCCTATATATATATTTTTTACCCCTGAGGCTTCGAACTCTCTACAAACTACGAGACGCTATAATGTAACATTACTCATTTAAGGCAACGAGAAACTACAAAAG